TAATAATAATAATAATAATAATAATAATAATAATAATAATAATAATAATAATAGCAAAAGTGTACTTTACATTTCCACCTTTTGCCTTGTGTCTTATTATTTTAATGGTACTGACCGGTAAGTTAAAGCCACGTGCAGTTTGATGAACCAACTCATGATTCATTCATGATTTGCTTTAGGTTTGGTTTCAACTGGATGGAAACCTGGCTTAGTGAAATGGGACAGCACGTTTAACATCTTTCTTTTGACATAATTAGGGCAGTTTCAGCCCAGTTAGAGGAAATAATAAATTGCCAAATTTAGACCACAGAATGTTCTACCTCCAACATTCACTTTTAATTATATAGTATCAGACAAAAGTAATCTGTCAGTTGCTTCAGGATGCTTTATATCTTAAAGTAAAAAAGTTATAACTGACTTGCAGGTGCCTGGTCTCTTTTACACTCTACTTTGAAGGGAAACTGTGGTGCAGCTGGTTTTACTGAGCTGAATACATGAACTTTGTATTTCTTTGGGTGCGACTTGAAGGGTAACGTTGTCAGTAACATTAGCTGTGGTTGTTTCTGCTGAGCTCCCTGCTGTCTGCCAACACCTTCACGGTTCAAAGAGCTCTTGCATCGTCAACCCTGTAGAGGATTCGAGTCCCTGAAGCAATATGATCCACTAATGGGCACTCTGATAAGTCACCAGTGTATTTGAATACAAAAATTAATAGGGCAGGTTTAATTATTTAAATTGAATTCCAAATATTGATTTAAAAATACCCGTCCATTTGCCTTTTACTGGCTCTTTATATTTTTCACCTCTTCACTTTTTACCTTAAAATCCAGTCACAGAGCTGAGCAGCCAAAATGTTAGAAAAACCCACACCAGTCGACCTTTCAAAAAGGTCTTTGGAAACTCTGACTCTGAAAGTATTTCCAGAATATTCCAAGACTGTTTTAACCAACTGGATTTAACCTTCTAATATCCACCAGGTACCTGGCAAACCTTTTAGTGTAAACTTTAGGGCAGGGGTCCCCAACTCGAGGCATCAAGGGCCGGTGTCCTGCAGTTTTTAGATGTGTCCATGATCCAACACAGCTGATTCAAATGGCTAAATTACCTCCTCATGTCTTGAAGTTCTCCAGAGGCCTGTAAATGAACTAATCATTTGATTCAGGTGTATAGACCCAGGGTGATATCTAAAACCTGCAGGACACCGGCCCTCAAGGCCTGGAGTTGGGGACCCCTACTTTAGGGTTATATGGGCTTCAAAAACTAGAGTTGTTAAATGAGAGTTAAATGTCAGTCTCACAGTCTTACAGTTCTTCAGTTATGTCCATTTGTGTATGCAAAACAGGTGAAAATTACAAGGAAAAGTTGATGTGAACCTAAACTAGTGACCTGGCAGATGTTACGAGGTTAAAAACATCTTGCACAACCC